TCATAAGCCATACACGAATGCACAAACCGTGCATAAACAAAGCAAACTTTAAAATTTTACGGTTAGTTCGAGCAGAAAGTTTGGGTTTGATAACGGGTTACTGACGTCATGGTCCCAAATGGTTCCTTGATAAGATGATTTTGCGATGAGAATCTTAATATTTCTCACTTTTGCAACGATGCCAGTGTTTCCAGTTTCTTAAACTGCGTTTCAATAAACGCAGTTTGTCAAACGTACCGAAACGCTGGTGAAAACGGTCCGTCGTTAAACGCGTTTAATTTCGGCGTTTGAATGAACTTAGTTTCGTCAAACTGCGTTTCGCTTGTTTCTGATGAAAATGGGTCTTATTGTTTTCCCAAAACGTGTTCTCTGCTCGCAGCTGATTTCGTATGTCTATTGACCCCAATAGCAAATACGCTTGCGTGCGCTGCTCCTACAACTTATAGAACCGATAAAGGACCGAGAGCGACCGTTTATCGGTTCTTCAATGTAACGAACCGCTAGCTCATCGAACATTTCAGAAACCCATTCTTCCGAATTATAGGCCCGTTTAGGCTATTGGAACTATAAAGATCGTTTCAGAAACCGGGCATTAGTGTTGGGTCGGGCGTTAGTTTATAAAATAGGCCCATTTCGTCAGCATTAAAAATATATTTGTACTCATAACTGTCTCGGATGGTGGGCCATACATTATGCAACCAATCATTGACCACATTCACGTTCAAACCGGCAGACTCTCCAATAATTTTTTCGCTACTGATATTATGCCTCTTCTTGAAACGCTCTACCCAACTTCTAGAACAAACAAACTCTTTGTTTTTGATTTTACTACCCATTTCGCTAGCCGTTTCTTGCAAAACACTGCCACTTATGGGAACGTTTTCTTGCCTTTTTTGAGTTAATAAGTCCCTTGTCAACCTCTTCATGTGCAGATGATTTTAACTTCTTACATCTAACATATGTGTTGTCGTACGCTGATAAAGCGTTTTCTCTGTTTTTTCATATTGTTGCACCAGTAGACTTTCCAAGTGCTATTTCTTTACAAATGTCGCTCTGCTTTACTCCACTTTATTTTGTTAATAATCTCGTACTTTTCATTAGGTGAAAAAGCTTTGCGTTTTTGTTTTTCCATTCTAAAACGATTTACATACATAACGCGGCAAAAAACAACAAGTCACTGCCTGTCTCTCGCTCTCACTAATAACAATAAACAACTCCGCACAATTCGTGTTGCTGAGCGTGGAAGTTCGTTATAAACGGAAAGTAAATATGGGAGTTGGGGAAAAATTTTTTTTCGAAAATTTCTAGAAGATATTAACAGTTGAAGATCGAATTTCAACTTTGTTATTAAGCATTATTTTGAAATGGTTCTATGTTTAATTGGTAGCATATTGGAATACTTATGCATTCAAAAAGAAAAATTACGATCTTTGCTTCAAATTACGAAAATTTTTCATATAAAAAAAGTTCTCTTCAATTTTTTGGTGAAAAGGTACAGCGGCAATGATGTTTCTTGTCATTAACAGATAGTTACAGGTAGATCTTGTCAATCTTAACAATAATTTGTCAAACTGTGACTTACTTTGAAGTTCCTTTCACGAATTTGCGGATATGCGATTAGTTCAGGGGAAATGCTACAGTAAGATGAAAGAACATGAAAGAACTCAAGCGAACAAAGGGCGAGGAGAGTGGTTCCAGGAAGATAGTGGACGATAGATGTTCGGGTTCCAAGCACAGAGGAACACGTTGGACATAACATTGGACATAACCGAATCAGGGCCTTCCAGGGGCACTCAGAGCACAACAACTGACACTTTCCCAAGCACCAAATAAATACCAGCTACATTCCTACCATGTTTGTATGATACACACAGCACAAGGAGATACAAATGGAGCAGGAGTTAATTAACTGAATACGAGATGCTGCTTGATAAGAGTCGATAATAAGGAGATGTTTGGTGTCATAGGGTTTATTTATAAACACCCATATTCGAGGTTATGAGAACAGGTTGACATGTTGTCAACAAATCTTGTTGAATTTACCGTTTATCCTCGTCTATCTTATTGTCAGTCTGTATAATTCCATGGTTACCGGAGTGTTAAATAATTACGAAGCCACAGGTATTTGCGCAATGTTACAATTGGGCAGATTACCTTGAAAAACATTGCTGCCATATTTCTGATATAGTTTTTTGCAAATTTCTGAGTTTTTAATAACAATATTTTACTATTTTTTCTGTACTCCTATAACAGCGCCAGCCAACACCTCAGAGGAATGACGCCAATTTGGAATCACCCTGTAAAACTAACCTAAAAAGTGATCGTTATATCCGGAAGTTCGTTATAAACGGGTTCGTTGTAACCAGTAAAAAAATACGTTGGTCTTTATGGATAACGTTTCAATTAAAGGAAAAATGTTAAGAATATTCGAGTATTTGAATTTAATATGCGAGTATTCAAATAATTTTACTATTCGAATAAATCACTAAACGAATATTCAAATTTCAGATTTAAAAAAATTCCGTGCCCGACTTTGCACTACACACGAAACAAACATTTTTAATAGTTGCAAATTGAAGGCTACAATAGAAAATGGCGAATTTGGTAATATTGTTTTGCTTTGCCATTATGAAAACTTATACAACTGAATATCAATTCAAGGCAAGTCAGGGTACATTTACTTAGATAAAATCGTTTCAGGACGCTCCAGTCTTTACCAGGGACCCTGTGAATCGAAACTAAAATAACTTTCCTTTTTCCCACGCTTGTAAATATAATTTAATATGCAAGGAAGTTCTGCCGGTATTCTTGACACGAAACAGGCTGCTTTCCTTTTTCCATAATACCATGGTTTTTAACTACGTACGAGTATAACAATAACAAACCGCAACATACTTATCCAACTTTAGTCAGAAACAAAATTTTCGGTTCTGTTAACTTTCAACTTTGCCAGTTATCGAAAATACTTCTATGGATTGTTCACGGTTCCCATAGGTATCCCTACAAGGATTAACTAATTCACGGCTGAATTTCAACGGTGCGTAGCAGCTGGGTTTTTAACCCAGATTAGTTCTTAAACCCGTTTAGTTAATCCGGATTAAGAGGTTTGGCGGTGCATATGGCCATAAGCAAATTGTTATCTGAATATACAGTGCTGTCTGGATATTCAGTACCTTACAGGCAATATTCGGGAAAAGTTACTAGTCGTTTGTGTCGTGGGAATTGCGTTCTTAGAATGGAAATATAAAATCTTTGTAGCCGTTATTTCAATTGCGGTAGTTCATCCTGATTACCTGATCGGAATACATTTTTATTGTGTGATCATTGTGTGATAATTGGTAGAAAATGGAGAATGGGGCTTGCTGAACGCAGAACGATCTACAGTCTATAAATCCCTAAGCTTGAGTTAAATTTTCGAAAAGCAACTGAAGTTTTATGGATTATTTGCATTTCTTATTATTTGCCTTGCTGCATGTTTAAATAGTTTTCGGTAGATCTATTGTTGTACTAAATACATTTTCTCCATTTTTTTCAGGTGGCATCATTCAGCTTTCGTTAAGACTCACACTTCCTTGGCGCTTGGTACATGTAGGGTTTTGGGTCCCATATTGTTGACTTGTATGTTATGATAGTGTTGCGTGTCGAATTTATTCGACAAAGAACAAAACTGTTGTTTTTGTTATTTATTAAAGGTTATTATAAATTATAAGATTCCTAATCCGAGTATTAAACATTCTCGAAAAGCCTGTAAAGAATCTTGTTTTATTAAATTATTTATGTTTATATGTTTCAAGGCGTGTAGTCAAATTCATCGCAAGTTCTAAGGAATTCTGGCTGTTTGCGTTGCTTTCCAACGTATGAGTTAAGGGAAGTGAGCCATTGATAGACCCCTTAAGAAAATGTTCGTATAACTTTCTAAACTACATTCCCATTAAAGTGGGCTGGATCTATTTGAGTCTTAGTGCTTAATACACTTAACTGAGTTATCATAATTTTTAGAAAAAAATATAAAAAATCAGTGGCGGCTCGTGGACTGATGTAGCAAATGTTCTGCCAAAGAAGTTTAATGAAATTTCCAATCGTTTTCAAATACCTAATAACTATTTTTTAAATATTATGGAACAGTAAAGTTTTAAATAGAGGAAATAAAAGAGATGCAGCTACAGGATGCCTAAAAATGGAAATGAATGCAAAGTCAAATAAAAAGGTATGTAAAGAAACAGGCGATAAAACCTTGCATGTCATTGGAGAACCACCTATAAGCGAGTGCATAATTTCGCATAACCAGAGAAATCTTATGGGAAAATTTCGCAAAACCAATATATTTTCAACTTGCTGCTAACTCTCCGCTGGCCGCGACAATCTCTTCTGTGTCAGCATCAATGATATACAACACTTATTTTTCGACATTCCTACCGTTTTGTTTTCTTACTTTTATGGCTTTTTCTGTTAATTGTACTCGGTTTGGCTAAGTTTGGTGCAATTATTTCTAGCGTCTGGCAATTGCAGAAGGTGTAGGTGGAGGATACATATTTCTTATTGACACGCTTTGATCTATGGTATAGATTTCTATGGTATAGATCTATGGTATAGATCTTGATGCCGGGTCTCCAGTTGTTGTGATTGTTCTTCAGAACTTTTCCTATTTTCTTTGTAAATTGGTCTGTCTGCTGTTAACGATGGTGCAATCTCCTAATCTTATAACACATCTGGGTTGAAGCGGTATATTCCTATTTTTATAAATTCCCTTTTTAAATAAGCTTTATTGCAAAGATTTCCATTTTTGTACTGTGCCTTGTGCCTGGATTTTGGCGTAACCATAATTCGATTTCCTAATCGTAATAGGTGTGAACTGGCTTAAAAAAATGAGATCTAAAACTGAACATGACAATGTTGTTCTTTGTTTCAAAATCCGGTGCTGCGAGTCAAACAAGGCAACAAACCCCGAACCCGAAATAGTTCCTATAAGTATGATATATGACGGGTAAAGAAACAAGTACTAGTTTTTATAATAATATAATTTATTACTTTTACAAAATCACAAACGTTAACATACTCTACATAGCAAGCTCACACAGCAAATTAAAAAAAAATGTTTTAACTGCATTTCTATGTACAGTGGGCGTCACATAAAACTACACGAGTAAATAGTTGTTGGGTAAATCTGATTTTCTACTTCGATCTATATTTGCGTAAATAACACAATACTGACAAATTAATTTTCCTATTATAAAAATGATACTTTCAAAAGTATTTGAAAAAACTCGAATAACTACGTTAATCGAGGAAGAATGAACAATAAAAACAGTAGTTGAGAGATTTTGAAAATCGAACAGCACAATTTATAAAGAGATGAATGAATTTGTCAAATTAAAACAAGTTTGTGGCATACATCGTACATATATTTGACGTTTTTCACAAAGCCTGATTAACCAAAATCTGGAAAAATCCGTTTAGGAGTCGTTTACTTTTATGTGCCGCCGACTGTACATTGCAGCAATATCATAAGAGCATCAATAAATATATTATGACTTTTTTGGAATTTGCGGAACAATTTTTTAATCAAATTAAATCAATCCAAAGCGACTAATTTTAACTAGAAATAAAATCTTTATCGAAATGAATTTTCAAAATTAGTAACTCAGCGCTTCAATAAAAGTTGCATCCACTCAAAGAGCTTGAAAATAAAGTGGGTCTAAAGTAGATGAAATCTAAGACGAAATAGTAAACTATATTACCATTTAACACCATTAAACTTAAAACTATCATTTTTCAACTGAAACTGTCTATGTTTAACAATCACTCAAAAGTTGATAAGTTAAAACCTAATAATAAATATTTAGTATTGAACATATTCAATTACAGGCTTTTTAGTTTACCTGGACTATAAAATAAACTTTATTTTTCATATATTTTCAATTGTAAAATCTTAATTCAGCAAATACTGAACACTCTACTGAAAATATTGAAGTTTGTGTTCAATTAACAATATTAAATATAGTAGTTAGTCATAGTATGTTCACACAACCTGGTGATAAAACCTGGGAAAGGAAGCAAATAAACTAGCGTTTTGCAGCACCTTTGAAGAAAAACCATGGAAGAACGGTATTTAGGGAGGCAACATTAAAGAACGTTAGGGCAATTAAAAACACAATTTTAAAGTAATAAGGTATAAAAATAGCAATATCTTAAATAAATTCGGAAGCTGTAGGAGACTGGATAATTGAAAACGGCCTGTCTGTAGAATAGTGTGGTAAAACCGAGCCTCTTTGTAGTGTTGGGCAGTGAACAACAGACTGAATCTATGTTAAAATAATATTATATTCAGATTTAAAGCCGTAATTTCACTTACCGTCTTGGAATTGAGCTAGCTGGCAATTGTACTGAGTGTCGCAATTCTGCTACTGTACGTTCGATAGGAGTTTAATTTCGGTACGAATGACCTAAAAAATACATAATGCCATAATATAAGCAGTCGAACTAGTTAGTCTAAAAGTGGGTTTACACGCTCATGCCATCTGCACAGACTGGCTTGCACAAGCCAGATTTGAGCAAAACTGTATTTGTTGCCAACAGGATGGGAAATTTGGAAGAAGAACTAACTAGATTGTTTTGCATTATTGTGTTGTTGAAGAATGCGTACGAGACGCTTTCAATTACAACAACACCATTTCTTTATTCAATGCGGTTCTCACCAATTTCATGTAAAATTAAAGGAGGAAATATTTTGGCATGGGATGGGGACTGGCGCCGATAACGACACATTTTTTGAGTTTTCAGCATTCACTTGTCCGCTCAGGGTGACCGGACTGAGAAATGTCGATTTTGCCAACTACCGGACAAATTTCGCCAAACCTAGACTTAAAAATCTCCAAGTAAATCCAAACGGGGTAAACCAATAAAAACAAAGCGGAACGGTTTAAATTAAACAAGAACTTTAGTTTTTCTAACAAGTTGAATTGAAATTATATATGTTTAATCCAGTAATTTTCCCTTATATTGTATTTTCCCTCTCGAAGTAGGTCTAACATTTCAGTTTCTTCTTGTTTATACTCTAAGTCAATCGCTTTGACTTTACTATTAGTATTTCGTTACTGATACATTATGTTTGATGTAAAATCTTTAATCATATCAGTAGTATTCTAACAGCGCATATTATGAGTATAGAAATGCATCTTTATCCTTAAATAGGAATTGAAAGAATTTGTCTTAAATAACGTTATAAACATTCCTTTAAGTGGGTATATCTCTCGATTATTCGATTATCCAAAATGATATATGCTTTACTTACCCGAAGGTTTTAAGTATAAGGTTCTAATATGCTTAGGTTTATGATTTAAGCTTCAGCTTTCAGATACAAGCGTTTAGATAGATTTTTTTTAGATTCACGCCAATTCACGCCAATTCGGCTATAAATTGCCACACCAGGTCACCCTGTGTCCGCTGGTGGTACAAGAGGTGTCACCAACGCACGCCGTACATCTGTCTGACTCCCTTTTCCAAATTGAAATTTATGGTTTTCTTTTTCTATTCACCCCGAATTCACCTAAATATTTTGTAGGATTTCCTATTGGTGATAGTTTCCACATTAACTTTTGATAACAAATTCATTCATTATAGGTATCGACAAGAGCAGTCATTATGAAATACGCAAGGAAAAAACAGTTAGTCGCTTATTTTGAACTCTTTAAAAACCCGTTTTGATTAAAATACTGAAATAAATTGAATCATACTTGTTAAACTCTGATACGGTCCGGAACATTCTGATAAGAGTGAGTCAAGTTTTGTTCACCGTCTGGAACATTCAGGCAGTCATTTAGAACAGAGGCACTGGTTTTTATTGCCTGGAACTTCTGGGTGTTGGATTCTGTTCGGGAATATACGATGTAAACCTGGTTCTGAAAAGTCCAATATTTCAATAACATAAGAATAAAAATAATTTACTAACCTTATGGAAACGCTTGGGCTTTGGTAGCTCTCTTATTCAATGAGCTATGATCAAACCTTGAATACTCTCTCTCATGATTTCTTCCATACAGATTAAGATCTTTGTAAGTGTGTGCGAAGCTGGCTCAGCGCGGTTTCGACTTTTCGTTGAATCTAGTCTAGAAGCATTTTTTTCTTACTATATAAATAGCCTACTGGTTTTCCTCTCCGTAATACGCAATGTGACCGTAATGAGACTGTGGAAAGTGTAAGTCGTTTTGATGGTGACAATCTGAATATGCAGGCCAAAGGTCCGACGTCATATAATCGTTCGTAGGAGAGCGAATGGTCGAACCATTATCGGTAGTCGTCAAAGAATTTCGCTTTCCATTATTATTTTGCAAGTCATCTTGGCACTTTCCACTTGGGCCTGCTGGTTGTTTTGAAACCGGTCCACTTGTAGACGGTTGTCGGTTTAGATCTAGCTTGAAATTTCTTCTTCCCGGTTTAATTTCAGCGCTGTTGTTTTGAAAAACTGTAACGGTTCAGGTAGACTGTCTAAATTTAAACTCCTCTTGAAATAATTTATCGGCAACTTGGACTTGCTTTTCTCGTTAGCAACAGATACTTTTTCCAACAAACTGTCGGTTTTTGCATAATCGTAAGGGTTTTGGAAGTGTCTGACTATCCAGCAATGCGGATTTGAGTCGTTCCTTTTTCCCAGCTTGAGGCACTTTACAATCAGATTTTGGCTCAGTGCCGCCCCCATTCACGCACTCTTTTGATTTCCATTCTTCCTTGCTTTTGTTTGACGTTTTATCTACTTGTTTGTAGTGGTTTCGGCTCCACAGATAAAATGTCTATCGATACTGCTCTTGTTTTTTTTTTATCAATTTACTCTCTGTGCACGATTCTAAGTTTCTTGGCAAATTCTGTTCTCTAAGGAGTTTAATTGCGTTGTCAACTGCAGACTTTTTATGCATTGTATTTTTGGTTTCATCAGAATCCGTTGTGGCGCTGCTCCAAAACTTTTCCAGTTTTTTCTCGATAGACTGCAGCAGGTTGTTTTTATGTGACTTATTGTTATTGTATTTCTAATGCTCTTTGTTCAATTGGTTAATTTAATATAAATTAATTATCCAATGCTATTTGTGCTTGCACAAATTGTCCTCATAACTCAAGTAATCCCGCTAAATGTCCAGAAAAACGCTGAGGTAACATGTTAAATGTAATTAATTGACCAACAGTAATTTCAAGGTTAATAACGGACTTATCACCATACCATCAGATTAATATGCTAGTTATCTTACCAATAGGTTGCAGCATATGACTAGATAAATATTATAATATTGGAGTACGATAGCTCTAGCATAAATTGAATCTCCAGTTTGAGTTACACAGCGTTTTGCTAAACGTGACCCCATTGCTAGGCTTTTTACTGTTTCAGCTCCAGCAATGCTCTCTGTTAAAACATCAGTATTAGTAGCGTTATACTGAAATTTCGTTTCAAACCTAGCTTTTACTGACTTAGTAACACGCCAAGCAATAATTAGATAGAAAGGAATGGAAACTACTACTATGGTAGTTAATTTAGGCAATAAAATGCACATTACTAATAAAAATATATGCTCATAAAACTAATATCAATGACCAAAGTAAATATAGAACCACTGATAAATTCTCTATTATTATCAAGTTGACGTACACAAATAGAGTAAGCGTAATCGTAATAAATGTTTTTCTAATTTAATACAGAGTACAATATCAATACGTGCCGCTGTATGGATATATTAGAGAGTTTTTAGGCCCCTTAAAATTACGTTGGCCTTAAACGCTAAACGTTATTGTGATCATGCGCAGTGTTAAAAAATAAGGTGTTCAGGTACATAAAGTTAAGTGCGTTTTTTAGTTTTTGTTTCCGCGTTGGTTGCACTCTTAAAAAAATAAACCTCACTTTATTAAACAAAAAGTGGCTAAGATCATAGATTAACTAACTAAGGCTAAGATAGAAGAACATATTAAAGCTACCTTTCTGCACCGAAATGACCAGGGAGATGTGGATCACGATTTAATTAGAGGCTTAATTTTATATGACATCTTTGACCCACCTGTTGTTGCAAACCGAAGAGCTATTTTTAATTTAGAAAATATTGAGCCCAGATATTGCCTTATCAATTTTAAGTTTCAGAAGGAACATATTCCAAATATATTAAATAAAAATTCAGAATCAAATAGTTAGGTTATGGGTTAGAAGTTAGAACCTGTTCGTGCGATATTAGTAGTGTTGCCAAAGTTCAAATTTGCCTAAACAATTTTCTAATAAAATCCGTAATTACGCAATAATGGCGCAAATTAATCAATGAAAAAGTCTTATTTAAATTTACAATACACTTCTTATTCTATTATAGCCGCTTATTTTATTAATAATATTAGAAATAAGTCAAATTTGTCAACACCGTCGTTCTGCTTATTAACGTTACCCCTACTCGTACGTAAATAAAGAAACACGTTATCCTCTAATAACGTATACGGTTATTTCTTTACTAATGCGCATACTCAGATTAACGGATACCGTAAAACGTGTTGCCATTAAGGGGCCTAAAAACTCCCTATTGATATTCTCGTAATCCCTTAAGCAATACCTCAAAAATACAATTAATTGGTAAGCCCAAAGTCAGTACATCTAAACTGTTATACGCTTGATAAGCTAGTACCTTATCCATGACTATTTGAAATAACAGAGGAAGTATTAAAGCAAGTCATTGTAATATAGGTAGATAAAATAATAATATGTAAGATAAAATTGCCAAAAAGCTGGGATAAACCAAGTTATGTTAAACTTTGACGCAGCAGAAATAGTAATAACTTCCATTCCACCATTCTAACCATTCCAACAACTACCAAGCTGCTGCTTAGACTATAACTCAGCATTGGATTCGTATGGGTGTTGCATTTAGCCATTATTTTTGTTCCTTTTTGCTAGTAATCGATACTCACCATCAGTTGAAAGAAATATTACTTCTTCTTCTTGTTCGGCTAGCTCTATAACCCCGGGTGGGTCTTGGCTGACTGTACTACTTTCTTCCAGTATTCTCGATCTTCTAGATCTTTTTCTCGACGACTTCAAAATGATCTTCCTCTCACGTCTGTGTCGAAAGGAACGCTCATTTTCGCAAAGAAATACTACTGGTAAATCCTTATCTGTAAGTTTATCATATACTAGCTTTTTGGTTTGAGCTTGACATGATAAATTTTATTGAGGTCATTTAGACCAGAACCAGAGAAGATAGAATGCAGCTCCACAAAGTATGAAAAGCACCCACGTCAGGGACATAGAAAAATAGGGACCGCCATGCGTCGGGATCTTCCAATCCTATGTGCAAAGGGCGTCCCACCTGACAGTGGGCTTAGGGTCGATAGTAAATTTAAGGTGGGAATCACAAAAAAAGAGAGTTGGAATAATAGACCACTGTGGCCAAAAGTCATGTCATCATGAAAAGGGCCTTTAAGGCCTATTCGCTTAACAGTACTACTACTATTAGACCAGAACCAATAATTGGTAAAATGAGAATAGCACATCTTTAGTAATGTTGACACCTGCTAAAAACTGTAGTAGCAACTGACTACAAGCTAGAACACTACGTATACTATTGTCCATTTTAAAACCTTTAAAAAAAATTTTTAAGCAATTATGAATTATACGGGAGTCCGGAAAAGGTGGGACAAACACTTAACGATGCAAATCTCAGAAGCGAAAATCATACTATTGATTATCGCCTCAACTAAGTTTAACTATTTAGGTTTTGCTGTCCCCCTGTATAGGAAGACACCCAGCACATTTCTTACAGCTTAAGGTATGTTTTCTCTTGGTTTAAGTTCTGCTTAAGTAGATTTGTACCACTTCTAGCTCCCAAATGTGCCCGAAACATGTCGAGCGTTTTCCCTTAGATTGGAGGTAAAATACATTTATTGTGGAGAAGTCTGTGTTCTATTCACCTTCACTCGTATAATAATGGAAATTATCATATGTAAGTAGTGTAACAAATTTTAAAATTATCGGATAACCATCGAAACTTGTCATATTAATTTTTGATGCCCCGTTAAGTGTTGGGAGCACCCTTTCCGGACACCCTGTATATGGAATCCCTCTCTAATTATTTTATCAATTTTTTTTAAATTAAAGAGGTATATCTGTTCCGGACACAGTTATATTTGTAAAAATTTCTGAGTTGTTTATAGTTGTTATTACTGCTGGATATTGCTGTGCAAGTTGTTCTGATTGTTGCATACTTGATATTGCTTGACTAAGAATACCAACATTAGCCCCTTTAATATTATTACAATAAACTTGAGAAGCCATTGTTTTCATTGCAAGTTTTCTATTTGATAACCACTCCTGTTCATAATCCAAGAATTGTTGTTGTAAATTAGGTATATCGTCAGCTAATCTAGCTAATAATTTATTTGCTTGTGCCTGAGTTGATTTTGATGCTACCTTTTTAATATTATTGTGTACTAATTGTTGATACATCAGTTGTGAAATAGCTGCTAGTTTCCCTATAGCTAGTTCTTTACGCACTACTTGTATAGTTTTACTATATAATTCACTATCTTCAAAAATATCAGACATACATGATCTAATTCCACAAATTTGAGCATGCTTTAACACTACATTTTGAAATACATCTACTAAAGTAGCTGATTGTATATCTAGTTCTATACTATTTGCCTGATTATCAGATAACAATTCAGAAGATTGTGGTTTATATCCTGTCCATTTTCTTACCAACAATATACCAAAGGTCAGAAGACCGTTTATATCAGTATTGTTCAGCCATTGATCGCCCATCTCCAGCAAAGTTGACCCAGCTTCTTGATTTTTATGAAGTGGTAGCTGTTTGACTGGTAGATCTGTTTGTGATAATGGTAAAGATTCGGGGGGCAGCGATTTGGCATTGTGATTTGTCATATCTGATATCCAACTATTAGGTAAAATAGACGAAATTATAATTCCTATATTTTTAACGAAATTGATAGGCCAGAACTGCAACCTACTACTTGCTCCTGAAGATACAACATTAAAGTGGCTATTTTTTGTATTTGTACCTTTCTCTTGATTAAGTGTAATATAAGAATCATCTTCTCCGAATACACTTCTATTACTAATATTTACAACAGATATACTTTCATAGCCTTTTGTATAGTTTATTGATCTCTTTATTAGGTTATCTATTCTAGACTTTTTAGAAAATGGTGTGATATCTGAGTCAGACGATCTCATACTTATCAAGTCTGATTCATCATCAGAAGTATGAGAAATCGTCGCATCATTATGTATTTTATATAGCATAACATCTTCACCTATATTTGCGTTTTTATTAAAAACAAGTGTAATAGGGGTTACTTTTTTTAAATCAGTAATAGATTTTAAATTCGGTAGGTATTTATATATCTGTTCATTTGCTTCATTAAGCTTGTTCTCAGCATCGGAAATATATTTAGCATATTTAAGTTCCATAATAATAACATCTCCACTTTTTGGTTCATTACCACTCATCTGTACAATTTTGGATATTACAAGATCAATTCTACCTGATTTAGACGTATTAACTTCTGGTAGCACTTTTATAGTGTTAAATTTATCATATTTACCAAAAAACATTCCGTGTAATATAGCTTGAAAATCACTCTCGCTATTAACCATACCTCGTATAGACATTAGAGATTGTGATAATTGCTTTAATTCGGTATCGATGTTGCCTCGAGAGAAAAAGTTTTGTATTGAAATAGAAGTTAGTTTTTTATAATTATTAGTTTGTCTAAAATTTGATACATCTTGATGTTCAAATACTTCAACATTTTGGAAAAAATATAATTTTTTCTGTTTTTCTTTAGTCTCCTCATCTGTTTTTAATTTTTCTTCGGGTGACCAACCCATTTTCGAATTATGATTTACTTTTATATCAATTTTAGTAAGCCTATTAATATGTACGTTATAAGGAATTTCAATTTCATCAAGATTCACATCTTGAAAAATTTTATCTTTGCTACTTTCAACTACATTTAACATTATCCATCTCTGGGATCTCTTCTCTTGAAAAACAAATGTACTTACTGTATTCTTTGCGTTATACACATGTACCTTTTCTGCACCACCTCCTGATAAAAATTCTCCTAAAATTAATCTACTGAGGTAATAATGGTCATTAGTTTTAATTGCTAAAGGGGAAATAGAGTAATATAAATGTTTTAGTTCCTCTTTAATAGTGTTTTCAATATATTCAGTTTTTTTATGGTCATTAATATTTTTAATCAATGGATTAATCAATCCTTCAGGTTGCGGTATATTTTCTATCTTAACATTGAGAACTTGGGCAACATGAGCAGAATCAATCTTAGAATTAATGCCAACAATTACAGCTTGATCAGCTATGGTTCTCATGCTAAGATTATAAAGATAACCGGTACTCTTTATCTGATCGATAGCACGATCAGAAGATGTAGCATCTGCTTTAAACTCTATAACTATTGGAATAGCCCGCCAATTTTTATTGTCTCCGTTACCCTTACGAGAGAGTATCATTAAATCAGCGTAACCTTTTCCAGCAGTACGCTCTACATAAATATCTAAGTAATAACGGTATTTAAAGTTTGAAGCGAAAACTCCATAAAAGAACCCTTGAAATGCAGCCTCAGATTCTATTTCAGAACCGAATTGGTTTCCTTTCTTAAACTCGGATTCGCCCTTCTTGGACATTTCGACTATTTTGAATGAATTGTACATCTTTAATAATTTTAGAGAAATTGCCTCAATGCTAGATTTAACATTGTTTATATTGTCATTAGAAAGACCTTCTAGATGTTCTATATCTATATTAGTATATTCTATTTTCTGAAACTCTTCAGAACTAGTATCCTTATACTGATAATCTTCTTTTGTTGATGACAATGCCTTTACAGAAAGTGAATTATCAACGTCAATATAAAATACATTTTCTTCTATTTTATAATTATCGTTTATCCCTAATAGTTTTGTAGATATTTTATCTAATTCATCCTTACTATATTTACTATTTAAATCAAGCTTTTGCTTATAATATTCATGAATACTCTGTTTAACGTTCATAGCTTGCTTAGACGTAAATCGATGTTCTTCAGCAATGAATGTTTTTAACACCAATGTCTGATCATCTTTTTTAAAGACAGTCTTTAGGATTTTATGCTCAGTGTTGCCGCGTTTACCAGTATATGGGTGAAATTTTACAGTTTCAATTTTTGCATAAACATCCTTTTTGACATTAAATAATTCAGCAGGTACCGTATAAAGTGATCCTAAAATAAAATTAGGCCAGAACTGTGGTTTTGATGGTCCAAGCAGAGTTGGAGTTTGTTGTAATATTAAGCTGAAATGTTCTGCAAAGCCTTCAGGTTGATTTATATTACTTGGTTGAATAGATACATAGCCATTATTTTCAGGTGTACCACGTAATATTCCCGGATCAGTGCTATCAAAGAACTGCACAATTATTTCATCCTTAGGCTTATTACTGTGAGTTTCTGGTATGGCTGCAGCAGCAGCGGATATAGAAGGAACGCAACTTAGTGTGTCAGCTCCTCGTTTTCGACGTCTTGCAATACTATGACAATTCAGAAATTCCGCATCTCGATCAGAAAATACTTCTTGTTGTTTTCTTGATAATTCTCCTTCCTCTGTTCTCCATTCAATCAGTTTTTGTGTTTGGGTGCTGCTGAGTACCTTTTGCTCTGCTTCTTGTGATATAAGATGCTTTAATACGTCTGGTGGTTCGATATTGCTTTTTTTCCATTTTTCTAAACCACTTTTGAAGAAATTTTCAATATCTAGTATGGGAGCGTCTGGTACATTTCTTAATTGTTGTAATTTGTCTTGTCGTCTTTTATCAGAAGAGAACAATAGCTCTGTTACTCGCTTTGACTCTATCTTTATACGGAAATCTTGTATATAATCGAGCATATGACCGAACTTGCCTGCCCAATGTTTTAATTTATTTTTGTAGGTAGGAGCGAGTGAGTTAGACCACTGCTTCATTTTGCCAGTGCGTGCCTGTTTTAACATATTAGATGTATCTTTGCCGAAGAAAATACCATTCAGTACTCCTTCATAGGTTGAAAAGCTTGCTAAACTCCAGCGAGTAATATCTAGTTCTCCATTAGCTGAACTTCCCATGAAATACGCCATCACTATACTAGTTGTTACTTTATATAGAGGATGTTTAGGATTTTTTAAGATAATTTTTAATCTATGTATTTTTGATGGGTTACCTAATAAACTATGTGATTTGGGAGAACGTTTACTTAATTTGCTAATACCACGGCTTATATCTATAAAATTTTGTGGCCATCCCATTCCGGTATCAAATCCATCTACTAACGCAGACCATGTAGTTGGACCTTCCCAATCCCACTGCCAGAAAGCAAAATTACCGTTATTAGCACTAACTCCAGCACCATACGCCAAACCACCACCTGCTGTGTAACTTACACCTAGGAACATTACCTTAGTTAAATCTCTACTAACTCCTAGTGCTTTACTGAATACTGTCAGTGCTTTACCAGTATTTGCAAAATTATGTGCTAAACCGATACCACCAGCTATTCCTGAGCCAGCACCAAATCCTTGGAATAGACCACTCCATGTATTTGGGCGATCCCAATTCCATTGCACAGGATTCCAATTTTGATTAGCAGCAGCAGTAGAAAGGTAAGCACCACCAGCTCCTAACCCAATGGTAGCTCCTACTCCAATGGCAGTGCTACCTGCTATAGAACCTATCGTAGCAACTGAAGCTCCAAACCCAATCGGTAGTAAGCCACCAGCTAATGCACCTCCTCCTATACCTAGCCAAGTGCCAGGATCTTTAAAGTCCCAGTCTACTGGATTCCAGCGATTATTAGAAGCAGCACCTCCGAGGTAAGCACCCGCTACAGCAAATATTATGCCAGCTATAAGAAAAGCAAACTCACCATCAGGATCTATTGTAGAAATTGGTGAATTGCCGGCATACTTATATGGACTAAAATATTGTGCTTTTGGATCTGGCTGATAAAAACGACCTATACTAGGGTCATACAATCTTGCATGATAATTATAAAGACCAGTTTCCTCATCCCATTCCTGACCTGTATAGCGATACATAATATGTGCTTGTGGATCATTACCATAAGAACGCATTAACTGACCATACGGTAAATAATCATATGCTGCTACCACTTTGCCATCTTTCAGTACCAAACGCACTGAACCCGCATGATCGGTAGTAACACCATAGAAGCTATTGTTACGGAAAAATCCTAATAATCCTCTAGGTCCATATAAATAAGCTGTGACGATTTCTTGAGTTGTTTGAGGTAAATATTTAGTCTGACGATCTACTAAAACTCTACCTTGTTCATCACGCAGGTAATGTGTCTCCTGATTAATTTTACCTTCCGCATTAAACACACGTTTTAATATTCTCTCACCCTGTGCATCATAGTAAAAGCGTAAAGTACGACCATCGGTAAGTTGTATATGTGTACTGCGTTGAGAAACCGGGTGATACTTGATGGATTGAATATCCTTATGCAAAGCCTGAATCACATTGCCTTGGTCATCATGCTGCATAGCAAAAGTCTGCTCTGCTTGTAGCTCAGTAGGTCCAGCAGGCCAATTTAATTTTATATTTTTAATTTGATTAGTGGTGTTACGGTAGGCTAGCTCATAACGGTTAAACCCTGTATAAAAAAGATGATGGTTACCATTAGCATCAATATTATAAGATTCTACATCAAATGTAGCTTCACCTAAGCTATATGCAAAATGCTGTGATAGTACTTGGACAATTTGTGGTATAAAAGTAACATATTGATGCAAAGTATCTGTAAAATTTTTACCTAAAGTAGCAGTAAACCCTGTAGTCCGTGTTGGTAAGTAGCCCTTATCAAGTAGCATTTGACCAATCTGCTTAGCTATTGCTTTTTCCTGATTCCGGACAAGTATAAATGATGATTGATCAATAGCTTGCCAATGTAAAAAAACTGTTTCAAAATCAGTGAGCGATATTTCTTGCTGTTTACTAATGGCTGCTACAACTAATCGCTCAATTGCCTGAGCAAATAAAATATAGCCACTGCTTAAAGCTAGTAGATCATTACGCAACTCTGTACTACGCAAGAATGATTTTCCACGTTTACCAATAGTATTCGCTGAATCAGTACGTTGTTGATCCGTAATGATATAACCAGTATTAACAAGTAATTGCCAAATATGCTGAGATTGCTTGTTTGTTAAATTTGGAATTCTTTTAACAAATGAATCTGATTGTAATGGCGCAACAAATGCTTGACTATCATCGGTAAAATATTTTGCTTTTACCAACTCTTGATGATTACCATAAGCATAACGGTGGCCATAATAATTTGGAATCAGCTTTTCAGCAATCAGTTTAGCTATATTACGACCAGTTTCACCGCCACACACCAACGGTAAAGTAGTTTCTATATCACGAATATATAATTTTACTGGTTTATTATGAGCAGTAACATAGCCTGTGCGTTTTAAAGCATTCATACATATTGCTGAGTAATTACTAACTAACTCAGCTTCTTGGAGCTGAAACCATTTGCCATCAGCATTAACTGGCCAACTAGCATTAAAAGCTGTTTGCATGATTAAACCATCGCCGTAACCTGCGTGACCGTAACCGTTTTCTGTATAGGTGATTTCTTCAGTTAAAAAAGGATCTGCGATCTGGTTAAGAAAACCGGGTGAATTATAGCGATATCTGCGGATAAAGCCATGTTGTGTACTTGCTTCGTAGTGTTCACTAGCTAACTGACCAATTGCGTGATAGCTAAAACTAGCATAATAATTTGGTTGCTCGTTAGTACCGAGCGCCACTAATTGACCAAGTCTATTATAGCTATGTACTATACTTAAAGGTTTGCCATCAACCGTTATTGGATATGTAAGTATATTTATCTTATTATTCACATATTGTTTCGTTAACTCAATTAGTTGATCACCATCAGCTTCTCCTGATAGAGTAATAGTACTTTTTGATATGATCTGTTGCTGAGCATTAAATGTTAGTTTGTCAATGATTGGCTCTCCTTGATTTTGAGTAATACAATATTTAACACGTCCACGTAATAATGGATTAAGCTGATCATCAGCATAGTCAAATTGTTGATACTCACGAACATTTGGTATATTTTGTATCTCTAAATATATTTGTAAAATATCAATAGGTAATAGTTGATTGAAGTAACCAGTACTGCTTAATTGACCATTTATGTCGTAATTAAAGTAGATGATTATTTGAGGTTGATTAGTTGAGCCTACAGAAACCATAAAACGTACTTGACCTGCAGTGTTATAAAGATACTCAGTAAGGCCGCTATCAGGAGTAATTTTACGTATTAAATGGCCATATTTATCATACATAAAATAAGTTGCTAGAGCTTGCTGCCATTGTTTTTCTTGAATCGAAAGGTGATCTTCACCTGGTTGCCACATTGTTAATTTTAGAGCAGTATCTACTTTTTCATGATATAGCGGAGGTAGGATTTTTACTAAACGATTTTCTGTGTCATATTCATAAGTACTAAGCAAATGATTGTAGCTTGGGACTTGTACATATAGAGCTACTTGATTGTTACGTTTATCAAAAATTGTAACTTTACGACATCCATTTGATGTATGTTTTACTTTTTGCCTATATCCATGACTAATTGGAAACAGATTATCAAGAAAAGCAATATCAGAATACCGACTCATCTTAGTTATATAACGTCCAGTAATAGAAAATTCCGGACTTGGTAAACCTAAAACTGCAGCCTCATTTAATGGATTAGGAGTATATTCAGTGCGTGTGTAAGCAACACCCTGATCTGCGGTATTTAATTGATCAATTTTCCCTTGAAGTTTACCAGTAAGCCACACTGATTGTACATTAGAATAATCTTTATTAGTGACAAAATCTTGATGATATGCTAATAGTGGCTGATCTGCAGTACGATCAACTCGTGTTGTTTTAGTAGTAATAGCTTCACGTCCTAGTTCGTCATATAATGTCTCGGTTACTAGCGATGTTTCGGCATTCTCTAACTGAATCGCTTGAGTCTTTTCACCAAAAGCATTGTAATATTGCACTTTTACCTGAGGACGATTCATCACTAACATATCTTCAAGCAATACTTGATTTTGCACTTGCATTGAAAATGATGACCATGAAGTAAATTCATTAGAGTTGATTCTTGATGGTGATAACTCTTGATCCAGCAACAATACGCCATCTAACCACAACCATATATAATGTTCTTCAAGCATTACTATTAATTCACCAGCGGATTGCAACGGAGCTATGGTATAGCCATTTGGTAAAACTAAACTAGCCAAATCATCTGATTGACGCATAAACTCCAATTTGCCAATTCCTTGCCAATTAAATGATAAAGAGGATTGTGATTGCTGTAACGCAAAATAGCAGCGGATTGCAGCACTAGTGCTATTAAATAAATGATTACTCGCTTTAATTTGATGTCTTCCCGATTGTTTATGCCATAATTGGCTTGGTGCGATATTCCAAGCATGCGGATTATCTAGCTGCCAACGATGACGTAAAGCATATGAATCAAAAGTTTCATAAAAACCATTTTCTGGTTCAAAAGTTAAAGTGTTAGGTTTAGCATCAATAATGCTGCCCTGAGGAAGGGGTACTAATTTACCTGTTTTACTAGATGAAGAGAATTGTTTTAATTGTCCTTCTTCGTCTACATTAGCAATTTCTTGTTCTAAACGATTATGAATATTTCTATATACTAAACCATTTGCTTGAATCAATGCTGTCGACTTGCCAGTTAATGGATGATATACTATCGCTTGAAAATCATGAGTTAGGGGTGAGAAACGGATATGATCAAGATCAACTGTTTGATCATATGGAGCTTCAACCCGTAAAGTAATCTTAAACTGAGCATTGCTAGGTGATGGCAATATAGTAGTAGTATTACTGGTTGCATTATAATCCACATAATCTTTATAAATCTGTTTTACCACCTGAAAATTGATTGGTAGTTCTAGATAAAACCAATCACCTATTTGATGTTTAGTTTCAGCAAGTAAGGGAATAACCTTTGTTCCATCAATAGTACTGATAATAGCTCTAAGGTATTGTGCAGGCTTATTTAATTCTAGTAGTGTACTACAACGTATCCAGCAAGCAGCTAAATAAGTAGTTTCTTGATCACGTGGCTGTAGTACCCCTTCTAAGAACGATTGACTTTCTGTTACTGACCGACTTAATTGTAAATAATTCTCTCCAGTAAAAGCAAACTTCCCTTTAATTATCTTGGCTTTATTAAGATTCCATATTTTGGTAACACCATTACTATCTGAACTACCGATGTGATTATTTTCATATGATTCAACACCATAATAAGCTATCATTTCATCTGCTAATTTATAGGGAGAGATATCGCTAATTAGCCATTTACCACTGCGGTCTAATAATAATCCTTTATTGGACTCAGAATCGTCATTGGCGGTATTAATATCTTGTTTATCAGATTGTTCCTTAGGCGGCATTAAAACTTCTTGACCATTAGCATTAAACCAGTGCTCAGTTTTAGTAATATTACCGCTACTCACATGACGAGAACGTGTTACTTCATACCAACCATATAAATTTTTGTTATCACCAGGAATTATGGTTACTTTTTCAGAATAAGTTAATTCCTGTCGACTATTATTAAACGAGTGTTGATAACCAGTTAACCGTTGTATATTACCATCAGCAATCATCATCTGACCGACAAATAACTGTGGTTTAGGATTAGTTAAAGTAGATATAGGACGTACTTTGCATTCTTGCAGTTCAGCATGTACCGTAGTACTTGATGAAGAATTAGCGATTGTTACTAAATTTTGCCAATCACTCTCTTGTAGCAGTTGTTCATTGCTAAATGTATGAATCTGGCCTAATGTTTTATCGTCATGAAAAATCAATACTTTAACTAAATTTAGTTCTGAATGGTATGCTATATAAGCAGGATATCGGTTAATCAACTGATCAGGTGAGTGTAATTGCAACTCTTTAATTGGTTTACCAAATTTGTTTTTATTATTGTCCTGCTTATATAACTTTAACAATGATTTATTATCATTTGCTTCTAAAATAAAGTTTTGTCCTAAACGAATTCTTTGTGCTGTATGAGATAATGACTCTTTCTCCCATCCGGTACCTGTAGTACGTAATAAAATATCATTACCACAATAAGCACCATATTGACTAATCTGAACCGGATATAGATTCCAATCTAAGAAAAAATACTCTTTAGCAGATTTTTGAAATTCCTGATCCTGATTAAGATGACTTTTTTGTTGATCTATTGCATCTTGTCTTCTATTTCTATTGCTAATATATTCAAAAAATTTGCCAGAAATACTTTTTACTCTTACTTTAAAAATCCCTCCTTCTTGAATATAACCCAAGTTATAAATAACTTTTTGGTCTTGAGATTTAGATTCACGAGTAATTTTGTAGAGATTTTCACGCTTGATTTTAAAATATTGCTTTGTTATAACATTATGTTGTGCATCAAGTAAAAATAAGTGAATATGAGAGAAAAGTTGTCCGTTATTTTCTTGTAATGCACTTAACAAAACAAAATTTGTGAAAATTTGTAAACCATTTTGCTCTAATGCAGTTGAAATCTGCTGTAGAATTTCAGAGGTTAAATCAAAACTTCCTAAAGTATTACGATTCATAGCTGATAATCCTGGCAGGTTAGATCCTAACGCTTTACGTTGCCAACCATATTGACCATCATGGTGCAATAGCCATAACTGATTATCGTCATACCCAACGACTAGTCGCTTATGTAAAGCAAGAAATGTCATAGCTCTAGGAATAGAAAGTGTTTTTTCATTCCAACCAGACTGATCATCACCACGCTCAAATAGCACAATCTTATTTTGATTAGGCTCTGCTGCAGCGATCACTGTCTCACCGAATCGCACTAAAACTTTGTTACTAAAACTATAAACAGTAGGTACTGTAGACCAGGTTTGTTTATTATGGCGATTAAATATATATAGTCCTTCCTTCTGATCACTTTCTACAAATACCACAAATGAATTAGAATATGCATGTACAGTGTAATCTTTGATTGCAGAGCGTGCTGATGGATTTAAGAATCTTACATATACTGCACAATCAGTAACGGTTTGCGTCATTTCTCTATTCATAATGCGTACAATCACTTTACCAGCTACCGGGTTAAAATATGGGTATGCCATGACAGTATAATCTGGCCCATAAGCTATTTTAACTTTTTCTCCAATTGGGTAACTAAGGATGTTATCATGTGCAATACTAGGAACGGCTGGAGTAATAGAGTCATATTTAAAATTAACTGTTGATCCACGTGGTAGTAACTTGCAACTTGTAAGTACCTGCTTTTCTAATAAATGCTGATAGCTAAATTGTAACATAGGAGTACTGTGTGATAATAATTGTTGCGCTATAGCAGTTAAAAGTCGTTTACCATTATTGATGTGATAACTAAACTTTAGAACTTGGCTATAGGCAGAAGTAGTAATGCTATACCCTTGCATATAATGTGATTGTGCATTTGGAATAGGAAAGATAATGTTACCCTTGTCGTCTATAGGGTTAGGTACTGTATATTCAGACCTTGATTTAGGAGAGTAATCTAAAGTTAGCTGCATTTCTTGATTATCGCTAATAGTTTTAAGACGTAATGCAGAACTATATGCTTTACCGCAATTTATATTAGATATATCTATTTCATAATAGTAATAAAGTGCTTTTTGATTATTTTTATCAAAACGATTATTTAAGTACCACGCAGTTATTAATGGTTGTTGCTGTGCTCTATCACGACCAGGACCACGCCAGTTAGACCAACCCAAACTCCACCACAAGGCATCCTTAGCTATAATATTACTAGCTTTGCCATATATAGTTTGTTCTGCTGTCCCTTCAATCAGCCAATATTGTTCTGACATATGGTACTCGATAGTCACGGCTGATGCCCCATTATCAGCTTCAGCTAACAGAAAGCGCTGTACCCTTCTCTTATTGGTAGTCAGTTTTAGAAGCTGTGGACGACCTTGTATCATTAAATAGTAACGAGCATCGTCAGGGATAACACTACCTTGATAATCCACAAATATATAATCTTGTGCTAAAGGTAATGACCATCCTACTCCCAATAAATCAGATGTACTAACCTGACTATCATAAGAAAGAGTTAATTGTACGCCCCAACCAGTTAAAGATAAGATATCTATTAAAGGTATATTCAAACGAACTTGACCGCTAGCAATATCTACGGCTTCCTTAAGGAAGCTATCACTCCACTGTTCTGCCCAATGCAGTATAGGTTTCTCAGAAAGACTAGTACGAGCAATTTGGTCTGGCACTAAAATATCTTCACTGTTTCGCCTTTGGCTAGGAAATTGAATAATAGGAGTTTCATGTGTGGTGCTAGTTGGTGCCATTATACTAGTAGTAACATATTGAGCGTGTACTATCTTAGCCCATTGTACCTTACCTTCCGTATCTTGAATAAATATTGATGGTTGTAATACTGCAGGTGGCATTGCAGGTAAGCTGCCAATTATAGTAGCATAGCGTTGTAATCCAGGTAATTGTTCAGAACTGAGTAAAGTTTTCCAGTTATTAGAAACATAATCAAAACTCAATGCTGTGATCCCTTGTGGTCCAGTAAAGAGTAGATCATGACGATTATCACTGTTGATATCCAATAAACTTATAGAGCCACTATAGTTTGATAACCAACCACGTGATTGCGTAAACTCAGTGTTATGGTGCAAAAATTTATAATCTTGTTTGTTGTGATCATACTTATAGATAAATAAACCACTATCATTTAAGTGTAAAATATCTTGATATGTTTGGTGAGTTAAGTCAGCAAAAAATATGCGATCTTGTATGCTGTTATGAGATTTTCTTATTTGCTCAGTATTAATAATATTTTCCAATAAATAATCAGCATTAAACTGATAGAATTCTAACCTTTTAGCAGTACGTATTCCAATTACTTCTATATTATTATGATGTAACTTGGTCACAAAGAAATCGGTATCGTTAGCACGCCAAGCAGAAGTCAAAGATAACTTGTTATCAAACGGAAATAGAGGATAACTTATGTTAGGAAGGAAACTATCACTCGTGGCTGCATAAAATTTTACTATTCTATTGGTGTCACGAGTCATTAACCCCATATAGTCTTTATTGGAATAAAAACTGCCTAATAATAAAGTATAACCGTAAACATCATGGAAGTGTCCATCTTCTTTAAGTAACTTTAATCCTGGCTTAGTTGAGTCTATCTCATAAAAACGTATACCATCCGGATGTTTTAGTACTATTATATCTGTGTTAGGCAGTAATTTATCCGCTACTAACCATGGGTAAAGAGCTGCTGAATAATCACCTCGTTTATTAAAAACTCTCTCACTCCAGTACTCTTGCCACTTTCCTGTTGATTCGTCATATTTATAGCCAATAAGATCACGTTCACCACGAATACATGCTATTATGTCACCAGTACTTGATCGGATAGAGTAAATACTGTGTACATGCTCTTGGTATAGATGAGGTTGCAAATCTGCTTGATTAGAAAAAGTAAGCTGATACATAATTGCTACCTCCTAATACTACCAATTAATCAAAATATCTTAATAAGTTACCTCCCAATACCCTTTTTTTGGAGCTTCCTCAGGTTTTCTCTAATTAAAATCAGAACGTACATACTTACTATCAACAAGATCATTCATAACAGGTCTGGGTAAAACCCAGTTGAATTGACCCGAGACTGGAATTTTAACATCTGAAAAAAGGTTATTTAAAAAATAATTGCACTATTATGGTATTTTGGTTAATAATAAAAAAATGTATATGCGCCGATAAGTACTTCAGAAGATTTAGAAGCAGAACAATTCTTTGATGATATATCTACCGCGAAGAGCATGAAAAAGGCACACTTCGCAGTAGTGATAGGGGATTTTAATGCAAAAGTGAGGAAAAGAAACTACGAAGACACAGGGTTTGTCGGAAGCTATGGAGTAGAGGAGAGGAACAACAGAGGAAATATGTTTATAAACTTCCTCAGCAATGAAAATGTCTTCAGTCTAAACCGACTTTTGGACCAAATAGAGCTGGAAAAGCCCAGACAATTTAAGAAAAAATGAGTTTGATTACACTCTTTCTAACGATCGTAAACGCTGCAAACACGTCTCGGTTTTTAAATAAGGGTGACACAGTCCGGGTCCGGGAATAACATTTACTCCAAAATCGAAATAAATGAGTTAATCAAGCCACCTACCCAGATAACACAAGATAATCTATGGACAATCGAAGAATATTCAATCCAGAACATTTAATATTCCACGAATAATCATAGTAAATATTCCAAGGACAAGAAAGTTGTAATTTCAAAATGTGTTATAGATATTCCAGGTATAATCCTCGGAATCTTCTATGAATATGCCTGTATATTTATGTCACATTCTAGGAATATATCATAGATGTGCACGCAATATGATTATGTTTTGAGCTATTACCATGTTACCAAATGGTATGTGACATCTATTTTCCCAACAATTTTGCAATGAATATTATGGCCACCATATGGTTTTACGTAATTTGTGATACTGATCGTACCTAAAGATACGTAATAATATTGGAAATCTATAAATGACACGCAATTATATTTACTATAAGTGTATATTGTATTAATACCAAGGGACACTAAACAGCGATGTTATGACAAAGTTATAATATTATGACAAAGTTGTAATATCATATGCTACTTCTTCTTAATGTTTTCTTATTTATTTTAGGCATTGCCACGCCAAAATATCGTAGTATACTACTACTACTACGTCCAGGACGCTATAAAAACCACTTCAAGCACTTTACGGCAGAAATAACAAAAAACAAACACGGCACAAACAAAAATATCCAAGTGTCTTCAATACTAAGCAGTACTATACTTAAACTAAGACTAATCCCGTTGCACGTCATCAACCGTCAAACTGACCCTGTTGCCAAGTTGTCATGAAAATCTTTTGTTTTTGATAAGGGATTATTGAATTAGTTTTAGATCAATAATAATCGCTAATAGTAAAATAACAGTACAAAAATTGCATCTTCCGACGTACTAAATGTAGCTACCATAATTTTATTTATTTTAAGGAAATGTAAGGTACAACAGTAAAAAAACAACTGTATAATTAAGGTATGAAATAATTAATTAAAACTCACTTCTCTAACGGCACCTAAGGACAACAAGGGCCCATTATTTTCGCGTTCCTCCTCAAAATAGCGGATTAATGAAGCTACAAGCTCCTTGCAACGGCTATTCAGTTGCTTTGACATTTTTTTTTTATCTCAGATGCAATGTTTGTTTAAAAAAAACAGGTTTAGATCACTTTTGAAGACTTTAAAAGACTCAAAGCTAACAAATACGATTGAGATATGGAAAAAAATTGCAAAAATTTATAGGCAAAAATAATAACTAACCAAACCAAAAACTAATCGAACGTTAACCTGACAACACAGTAATTCGATACCAACTTATAAGGTTAAAAATTCCTTCAAACCGAATCAAACAGTAAAGATTCGTTTATTGGCAGAACATATCGGCGATTATGTCTATCTCTCTTTAATGTACCTTGCTATAAATAAAGTGAACGTGATCGTGACGTATAACGATATATAATGCTACGTTATAATTATATTAGTAATATATTTTTGTTTGTGTGGTATAAAAGTTACTAATTTGGGGTGTTGGTGACGTGCAACGGTTTTAGTTTCAGGTTAAGTATAAGTACAAACCTTTGAATATAAAACTAACAGGAAGGAGACTTTCGAACTATCCTTGAGAGAAAGCGCGAGACCAAAGCGGCCATGTTGGCCACCTCCACGTATGACTCATCGTTAGTTTGGTGCATAGATTAACTAAGTAAGTGATTTGGTGGTTCCGTGTTCATGTGATTCGTCGTTTGCCGTTAATAAAATATGGTCAGTTGTGTATCGTGTGATTCTTTCCTAACACGAAAACATAAAACTTTCACAGGTAAGTGTTTTTTTGTGTGACATTTTGTTTAACCTACGAATCACAACATATTACATAGGCGTAGCTTAGGGTAGCATGATTATCGTTTTGTGTTAATATTAGATGTAATTAGAAATTTGGGTTTTAGCTGGTCATTAAGATTAATATTATTATTCTGAGATTTTTTGATTTCTTTGATCTTTTTCCTTGATTGATAACTGTTTTGAAGCGTGTTGATAAAATTTAAATTATCAAACATGTAAATTAACTTAAAAATAACTGTTTCTCTGGTTACGATGGAATTCGAACACAAGATTGATTCAAATTTGGTTTTATATATAATACATAGTTATAGTTAATAAGTTAAATTTACGTAAATTTTTAAAGTAAAAAAATTAAAAGTACCTAGCCATATAGACTGCAGAATTTAATATAAGTTTATGTTACATTATGGAAGTACTTGTAATAATTCAAAATTCCTTAATATATTTAATATATTGTAATTGTGGTTTGTTCTTATTTAGCCTTTCCCCGCCACCTGTTTTTAAACTAATCAGATTTTTAATTCAATGGTCAACGCTGGATAATTACATGTTAATCCTATTTAAGGATGTGTATAATCTCGTCAAGCTTTATTAATTCACTACAACAGATTAACCTATGTTGATTCCATTTTTTACCGAATATGTTATCAGTGTATACTATATTTTCCACATTTTATCATATTCTAATGCCCTACGCCACTGCCATATGCAGCCTTCATTCCGGTCGCACTGATTTGAGCGTAGACTCCTTCCTGTTAGTTTTATATTCAAGGTCAAGGGAGGGTTTTGTTTTCGGCCACAAGGTTTTGATCCGATTGGCTGAATCATTTCCTGCCATACCTAAAGACGAGTTTTTCTAAAACATTTCTTAAGGAAACACATTTTCATCTTCTATACCTAGATACTTATACGTTCGCAAATTTATTGGTATTGTTTAACACCAGGAGGAACTTGAGCGAGTGTTAAAACTAGACACCCGATATG